CAATCTTCAAGATTCATACATTCTTCCTTTTGTAAACTTTTGTCTACATGCTAAAATTTATTTGCAATCCAAAACCAACACTCAAGGAGCTTTCAGTGTCATTCACAAACACGCACAGAGTAGTGAAAATTTAGTCACACAACGTGCATTTTCTCAGCTGGGGTCCAACAAGGTGATATTCTGTGTTTTTGTTTCAATTTTTATACTGTAAACAAGTGACTTTTTCATGATTTCCACTGTTAACATACCCATTTTATATTGTTTTGAGGAAGATTCTTTGAGACTATGCAAATATCCTGATTATCCTTAAGCTTTTACCCACAAATTCTACACTGGTGGATCTTGCCCATGACAATTCCTGTGCTGGTTGCCGACTAGTGATGTGCTACTGCCTTCTTTCTTTGTATATTGATGAACTGGAATTCTTTAACAGAGAAGAGCTGTCTCGTTCCCCACTTAATTACTTATCCCATAAAATTATGGAAATTCATTTTACTGTATAGGTTATAACCCAACACTTACTTATCAATCATTACTTATTTTGCAGAAAACTGTTCCAACCTGCCATGAGGAGACCCTCAGGTGAATTCTGTGTGGTCTGCCATGTCCATTCCTTCTTGGAGCACTTCCTTATGTTCTGGCACTCTAAGATGTTCCAGACTCATCTAGTATTTTGCTCTGGTCCTGGAATCAACCACTTCTCCAAAGAACCCTGTTCTTCTGACTAGGGAACCCTGCTATATCAGGCCCTGTCAGTGGACAAAGGCAGGAAATATGTGAATGTATGCTGGCCACCCACCTACCTTTATTTCTGCATGTAGGTATGTGCCTGTAACCCCCACTGTCCATCTACCCACTTACCCCTCCATTCACCTAAAACCATCAGCTCTTACTGATTCCTTTAATTCCAAGAAGTACAAAGTTCATCTCAATCTTCCCTCTTTTGAATTTGTAACCTTTTTTGGCAGCAAGAAACTTAGCTCTCAAGATCCAAAATATTTTGCTAATTTGTTCAGTCCTAGTATACACATAAAACAATTCCAGAATTGCTACTCCGAGCCCCTAAAGAAACCCTGTTTATTAACTGGAACACAATATTAAGGTATAGTTCTTTTTAGCCTTTTTAGCCTTACAATATTCAATCAAAATGCATTTTCCAAAGTTACTTAGGTAGCTTGCTACTCTCTTCAATGTGGTTACATTAATCAGCCCTATTCCCCTCAGCCTCCAATGTGGTTACTGTAATCATCTGTATTACAGTCAGGCTCATCTGTTACTGTTTGTGTGCAAGTTGATTCCCTCCTACATCCTGGCTGTATAGAACAGTACCATGGTTCTAGATCAGGACAATACAAAATGCTGAGGTGGGGGAACTGCTTGCTCCCTCCTTATCCCTGTTACTTATTCCCATCCCCTTCTATCTAACCCTTTCTCATCCATACCTGTTGGCAGCCAAACCCATTTGTTCCTAGTTTACTCTTTCTGTCACTTCTTGCATTTTAATATCTTGTCCTAAGCCTGATTCATGGTAGATCCTTAGTAAGTGCTCAGCATTCAGCTGTTTCCTTCAGTGAATTGTGAAGTCAATTCCATGCCTGCAATTCATCCCTGACATTATGAAACTGGGAAAATTATCTTATGCTCAACAACAGGCTTTGAGGAAAATCCCTGCTTTCCTCAGTTGGGTCACTGCTAGGATGGAAGCACAAACAGCCACTTGGGAAAGTATCTGCTACTGTAATGGAGCGCCTGACTCTCCCTGGATATGAAGACTCAGATAACTAGAACTCAACCCGATGGAAATTCCTGGGCAACATTTTCACTTTGGTGGCAATTTTTTCTAATGTAGCATCTCAAAAACCTAGGTGGCATAAGAAATTATTTCCAAACCTCTTGCAAATTATAGATTAAAGGAAATGGGAAAAAAATAATTACTAGTAAAAGTTGTGGGGTTTCTTCTGGTCACAAAATAACCCCTTTTAATTGTTACTTGCTTTGTAATTAGTGCAGTGAACAGGGACGGAAGCCACTAGAGAGGAGCTGGTGAACTGAAAAGCAGTCTTAAGTAAGTGGGGAAGAAAACAAAGAAGAGTTTGCAAGTGCAGATCTCGGACTCAGGAAGAAATCGAGTGCCTGCTTTTTGCTGGACCTTTAGCAAATTGCTTCACATCCAGCTTGATACCGCCCGTAATGTGGCACTGGCGCGCTCATCACAGAGGCAAAGGAAGCGGGCCGAGGGCGGTTATCTAGCCCACAGCTGGTCAGCAGCCTGGCCACCTTCAGCCCCCACCGCCCCCGTTTGTCTTGACTTGGAAGCCCGAGCCCCTGAAATGTTAATTTCAGGGTTTGGTACAGACTGCGCTCCCGACCCTTCTGTAAGTAAAACTGACGCCTTAGAGGTTGCCATAATGTTGCCTCTGCTTCTCAAACCCATCATTCTGCCCTCTGCCGCCTCGCTTTCAGGAAATGGTCTAATTACCAGTTCACGGCAGGATGTCGGGGGATTGCACTGGTTTTGCTTTACATCTGGAAAGGCCTTGTGATTTGCAGAATTTAGAAAACATGTCATTATCCCTCAGAAACGTCAGGTGGCAAGTGACTTGATCATCCCCATTGTCCTAATCCTAAAATTCTGAATTTCTTGATGTTTTGATCCAATGTTCTCCAGATATAAAAATAAGTGCATTAGCCAGGGATTTAGCTCAGTGGTTTCGCTGCCTGCCTTGTAAACCCAAGGACCCGAGTTCAATCCCCGGTACCAAAAAAGAGTCCATCAAAGCTAAGGAAGAAGAATCTGGATACAGCTGCCAGGACTCTGCCCCTTGTCTGCTGGGTGACCCGGAAAAGTCACTTGACTCTGAGAGCCACCGGACAGGGGGCCGTAACTTGGAATGGGGATGTAATTGTGAAATACAGAAGGTAACAAAGACGAGGTGTGAGGTTCAGATGAATTGAGGTGGACAGAGCCCTTCTGTCTTGGGAGCTGGCGATGGCTGTGACCGAAGGCAATGATTCCGTCACCTAACAGCTCGAGGGCGTGGTGGGAGAAGGGAGCAGCGGCGGAGGGCCAGGCTGGCGTCACTGGGCTCAGGTCACCGACTTATCTCAGAATGGCTTCCTTCCCCGTTCACTGCAAAATCAAGCACCAAGTACAGAGAAAATAGAGACCAGACATTCAGGAGGTTCTCTGGTGCCCAGAAGAGGCCCACAGCTCTCACAGGTGAAGGTCAGTGCCTTGGATACACATGGCCTCTCCGCCTCGCCTCTCCGTTCCGTGCCCTCGGTGTCCCGTGGCTTCACCTGCACTGGTGAAGAGCCAGACAAGGGCCTGAGGACCAGCACCCATGGGTCCACAACGAGCCTGGCATGGCGGCTTGGTGGCAGGTAACAACGACAATGACAACAGCGACAGCAGCAGCAGCAGTAGCAGCCCTTTGCTCATATTAGAGCTCTGAGGCTGGGTTGCTTCAAAATAGTTGGGAATTCAGAGACACAGAGCAAATCTTCCAGGTGAAAGCGACGCTAAGCTTTGGAGTGCTGGGGTACTTCATCTTTTCTCTTGCCGCCAATCATCGTCTGGCGTTAAACTGCTCATCTGTAGGGGCTGCATTCTGTCTCATGGAAAAATCCGCAGAAAGGAAACTAACAGACTTATCAGACTGCTCTCTCTCTCTCTCTCTCTTCTTCTTCTTTTGTTGGCAGAGCACGGTAGGCAAGTGCTCCATTACCAAGCTCCCTCGCCAACCGCTCCTTGCCCTGCATAACTTGTTAACCCTCACTGTCTGGACACCACCTCAGGCAGGGCAGCAGCTGCTTGTCCCCCTCCACCGACATGGCAAAGCACGGCTTTCACCACCATCCAGGACTTTATTCCAGGTGAGGATTCTCTTCTGTCCTCTTCCTGCCTTCAGAGGAAGGAGCAGATGAGGAAGGGGGAGGGCATTTAGGTTCCTAGAGGAGGAAACCACTGAGGGCCCACACGCTCTGCCTCTCTGTTCGGAATCCAAGAATGCTCTGAGACTGCAGTCTCCTTATGGCCCTCGAGAAGGGAACACTTAGGCTGAGCAGAGCACAGGTCCCTGTGTCTCAGCACTCAGGGCCTCTGCCGGACGAGCACATGCCAGGCTGCGGGCGCTGGGGATGGCACTGCCTGACTCTCCTAAAGTCTGTGACGCCTCCAAATGCTCCACCCTGCTGAATTTTGTAATAAGCAGGGCCCCAAGGCTTTCAGATCCAGGACTGGAGATGTGCGAGTTACTGATGCTGCGTCTACACACGGCTCTGCGAAAGCAGCCCATGAGAAACGCAATGGTAGAGCTTTCTTTAAACTATTTTCTTCTTTTAAAACCACAACTCAGGCATGCGCTTACCATGAGCTTAGGGGCCTGCAGTTCAATCCCCAGCATCACACAACAAAAAAGTAAGACAAATAAAGGCAGAACTCGGGTCGCACCTTCCTTCAAGTCGCCGACCTCATGGTTTAAAATGGGGAACGAAGACCCGGAAACCTCGCCCGAAAGGTTACCCTCCCGGAGGCTGATCCCGGAGCCCTCCCTTGCGGAGTTTCTAGAAAATACCCCACGGGGGAGGGATGCAGGAGCAGCCTCGTGGGTTCGCTGAGGGCCAGAGCCCTTGGGAGCCCCTCTTCTGGAAGCCTGGCCCCTCTGGGCCCCCGAGCTGCACGGAAGTCCCCGCTGCATTCCATGCCCAGCCGTGGGCTCCCGATTCCTCGGGCACAGCTGGGGCGATGCCGCCGTGGCTCGGGCTCCTGGAGCCGAAGGACCTAGGCTGCCCGCCTGCTCCACAGACACGAGGCCTCCCTTCCGCCCGCGCCAGAGGCCTGGCTGCTGGGCAGGGGGTGGCTGGAGGCTGTCCTCGCTGCCTGCCGGGCACAACCACCGCCCACCCTCTGGACAGGAAAACTACACAGCGTGGCCCGGCGGGCGGGCGGCCGGAGTCACCAGGCGCGCGGAAGGGAACACGGTAAGGTCGCATCCCACCTGGCGCTCTCCCACTCCTGGTCGTCCTTGTCTCGCTCCTCCTTGCCGTCTCCCGTGTGGGGGTGCTTCTGCACGATCCGCATCCCGCCGGCCTTCACTGCAAGGCAAGCAGAGGGCCTGGGTCAGGGCCGAGGGGCGTCTGCTGCAGCGCGGCCTGGAGAGCGGGGGGGGGGGGCGGCTCAGCGCCACCTTGCCAAGGCCGGGGTGTCCCTCCTCGGTCACCTGTCGAGTACTTCGTGACAACTGCGGGGTAACTAGAACGCAACCGGCCAAGTGGCTGCTGGCTTAGCTTCTGCACATCTGCTTGACCCCGAGGGCCACTCAAACCCTGCTCTGTGACATTCCACTTCCTCAAGTATCAGTGACGCTTACGGTGCGGTGGCGTGGCCCTAGGTGGCTCAGGACAGCTACGGTGCCAGGGACTGAGCCGTAAGGGCAGCAGAGGCACAGCTGCGGCCTTCCCACACCGCCGTAGAACCCTGCCGTCCCGGATGGTGTCCCCTTTTAAAAGTAGCTTTGTTCAGATTAAGTGACATACAATACAATTCGCCCATTTAAACGGTGTAACACAGGGGTTTCGAGTGTACTCGGAGTCGCACAATTATCACTACGAGTAACAGGCAGAAACCCCGGCTGCCAACAGCCCTTTCCCGGGCACTAGTCCTTCGGCTCTGTCCGCTCCGCGCCTTTGGCGCAGACGTGAGAGCGGCAAGGGCTCGGCCTTCGGCACTGGCTCTCCACGAGTGTTTCCAAGGCCACGCGTGTGGCCGCGCACCAGGGCTGCAGTCCTCTGAGCGCAACCCCGGGCGGGCGCCGTCCGACCGCTCCTCAGGTGAGGCCACGCCTGCGGGCGATTTCCACTTTTTCCCTCTTACGAATAACACAGTTCGAACAACATTTATAAAATGCTTTGTGTGTACATGTTTTCATTTTCTTTTTTATTTGAATGAAATGCAGACATTAAAAAAGGAAATATAAAAGGCACTCTTCTATGAAAATATAAAACAAAATTTCATAACAAAATAGAGAATAACAAAAGTGAATACACTGTATCATAATCGTAAAAGAAGGGCCACAATGTTACTGAGAGTACAAGTCATAGACAAAAAGAGACTCTCTTACAAAGAAGAAACAAGGACAAAACTTTCTCTTCAATGAACAGAGAAACTAGTAGTATAAATGAAACAAATCAGCATGCATCTTAAAGTGCTTTGAAACAATGAAATAGGTAATTTGGGGCAGGGTTTGAACTTCTCCCCCCCTTCCTATTTATCTATCTTCTTGGGCATATTCCTGGGGATGGAATGGCTGGGTGACACAGTAACTGTTTAGCTGAAGGAAACACCTGCCTTTCAAAGCTGTTGGCAACATTTTATGTTTCCACTAAGCACAGCCATGCTGGCTGTTACCCTCTTTCCTATTACAGCCATCCTAGTGGGCGTGGACTGGTAGCCCACTGTAGTACCGTGCAGAACTGTAGCTCCTGGGATTTGCATCTGCCCAATAGCCGATGTTAATACTGTTTTGCATGGAGTGGGGAGATGTGGTGATTCCAGGATCTGATGAGTGTGGGAAATCTGCATTGGACAAGATCAAAGGTGTTTTTTCAAGAGAGGTTTTCTGGGCCTTTAATGTGCTAACCTGCATCGTGTGGTCTCCCCCAAATACAGTTGACTGCAGCTTTTTTTTTTTTTTTGTCAGTAACATTGGTTATCATCTTTTACCATCATAGTGCTCCGGGGAGTAGAATGGAAACACTAGCCCCACATCCAGAACTCCGGGTTCATGAGGTGGTGAGCTGTTCTGAGGCAGCTGCATCCCTGCTGAAGACCCTGCTGCCTGCCGTTGGCCCAGTGGAACACGGTGACTGTCAGGGACAGGATGCTGGCAGGGGCAGCCGAATTTACCTGGGGCCACCTTAGTCCCTTTAGCAGCCATTTCCCTTCAACTCTGTACTTGACCTCAGTTCTCAGGCCTCTCAGGTGAAACTCAGAATGTACTGCTGGACCGAGCAGACCTCTGGCTTCCGCCGCCTCTGCATTAAGAGCGCTGGAAGCTACGGGAAAGATTTCCCAGCTACCTGGTGCCACGAATATACCCATCGCTTGTCTTAATTTATCCCCCCTCTGTTCTGCGGCTATAGAAGCTCATGTAACCTCTTTTGTGGGATGCCACTCGGTCACTTGAGTCTGCGTTCCTAGGCCATGGCCACTCACATTTGGCTCAGAATGAACCAATTCCTTTCCTTTAAAGCACAGTTGTTGCTCTATGTGGACAGGGGCCATCAGCACCCTGCTCCATCTGTAGAAGGGGGCTACTAAGTCTGGGGCATTCAGATGAGCCAGCACCACTCTTCCTGGGGTTCCTCTCCCCCGCCCTCCCCTCCCAAGACAGCCACGGAGCCTGCAGCTGGGGCCCAGCCCGCATCCCAGCGCTGGTCACCTTCGCACCATGTCCTCTGCTGCCAGACACGCAGGGCAAGGTTAGAATCCCCATTTCCCCGGGGCGACACTGCCAGTCCCCGCCTTCAGGAAGAGGCGCTGGCTTCTGGGGGCCAGAAGGCCCTTGCAGCCTTCGTGGACAGCGGCAGCGCAGGGAGCAAGGACAAGGACTGTGTCTGAACGGAGCGCAGGTGGGCTGGGATGGGACGCAGAGCTCCTGCTGCCCCATCAGTTCTTTTAACTGAGAGTGGGGTCTACTTGGAAAGAAGCAGGATCCTGTCTAGTGATCCACCCTAAATCTGCTTTGCATCCCAGTCACTGATTTTTTAATCATTTTAATTCTCATTTCTAGAGTTTACGTTTTTGTCTCCAATTCAACAGGGCTTTATTTGACAGGGCCTCTGTTCCCAAGTTTTAATCATTTCAGGCACGCCTGCTTATGGCTGTATGTCTTTTGGTACCGGGGGCCCTGCGGGTCTAACCCTGTGGTTTTGTCTGCCGATTCTTGCCCTGTGCTGGGTGCTTATGGATTATGTGCTTGTCACTGCCAGATCCTGTGGCCCTGGAGCAGACGGCACCCTCTGGGAGATGGGGCACCTGCTTCTGTCACACCAAGGGCACAGGTGCCTGGGAACCCTTCTTATGGCTTTCTCAGAAGAGGAACTGCCAGACCAGACCGTGTAAACAAGCAAAAAATAAAGACAAAAATCCACTATTCTGGGCAAATTTTTAATCTAAGATTTCCCTGTTTATATAGTCTGCCAACCCATTAGAAATGTGACCAAAAGTAAAACTCTATAGGGCATTATGATTTCCTGCTGTCTTGAAATGTGGGGTTTGAGGACCACGAATGCTCGTCCCCAGAGGAAGCACCTAGAACTGTCCCATGGAGTGTTTTTTAGAACTCATTCAGCACCCGCCCCCATCCCAGGCCCAGCTCTCAGGAAAGACACTGTGTGCTCCGCTACAGAACATAATGCGAAGTCCTAACACCCATAAGCTTAGCTCGTGACTGGACTTGGGGACAGGCCCTTCAAAGAGGAAATGAAGGTAAAACAGGGTAGGAACTACTCCAGTAGGACGTGTCCTTCCAAGAGGGGGTGACAGCAGGGACGCATGTGCGCGAGGTTGCTGTGAGAAGGCAGCCACCCCCACGCCACAGAGGCCGCAGCAGACACCGTGCCAGCAGCCCTCGGTCTCGGCCTGCAGGGCCCAGGACCCGGGGCAGAGAAGTCTGCAGGCTCAGCTGCCCAGAAGCAACAGTCACGGCAGCCCTGGCAAAATCACCCTTTGAAGGTGATCTTGAATCCCTGGAACCTGGCAGATACAAAACTTCAGAGCTATAATTCACAGATGTGTTTTATAAACTGACTAAAAGTAAAAAGGGCCTCGCACCCAACCACAGAGAAAACCAGTAACGGCTGTGGCGGTGACATCTGAACTGAGCGCATCTCCAGAAGTTCTCGCCGGGCACGCACCCAGTCCCCTAGCGACACCAGACCCAGTCGGGGTGCAGTCACTCAGCACGTGCGCTCACATGTAATTCAGCTGCCAAAACAATTAACTCCATGAACCCCTCTCAGTATGTTTGGTGATTAGTGCAGCCATAAAAAGTGGCAATAATAATCATAACTCAAGGCCGAGACAGATTCATTGGAACTTGCAATACTGCCAAAAAATATGACAGCTGTATTTATTGTGACTGTTGTATCAGTGTCTCTAGAAGTCTCCATTTGTAAAACAACAATGGCAGAATAATTTTCTCAGAAATCTCTGCAGAATTATTTGCAAATCTAGGCATTTTCATAAGAAACATTAAAAAAAAGAACACAGATTTTTGTTGTGGTTTTTACTCACACGAGATCTTCACGTTTAAATTGCAAGTTTCCTTTTAGCAAGAGTGCTATGCAGAGATGAAGGGCATGGGTCCCGGATTGAGAGCCGCAGGTTCCAATCCCAGCTCTGCCTGTGTGTTTGTGTGTATGTACATGGAAGTGTGCGCACCTGTGTACACGTGCCTGAGCACATGCCAGGGCTCTGTGTCAGGGCCCCCATCTGTGAAGGGACAGTGGAGGACTACATGAGAAACGCCACCAACAGGGACACGCGGCCCTCAGTCAGCCTCATGAATGGATTTTACAAGTCAGAACGCGTTGCCTACAGAGCCCTCCTCCTACAGTGCTCAGTCCTCAGCGAGTGACCTGTCCACACCATGGAGAGGATGGGACCAAGTCACACGTAGCTGAGGAGTGACGGAGAGGCCTGGGACACACATGCCTTCACCAGGTGGCCATCTGACTGCACCAGGACTGTCACCACCCCCCGATGACTTGGTCATTTCAAATGTCACCCTGGCATTCATCATCAGTGTTCTTTGTGGTTTGTGGCATAGCCCTTTTTGCTTTTAGTCCACACATCTGTGAATTATAGTTTAAGAGTTTAATGTCTGCCATGTTGGGGCATCTGGAGATGCCAAATAACTCTGCTGTGTGTGCTCTGCCTTGTGGCTGCTATGTCAGGCTGCCCTGCCCACCCTGTGTGTCGCCCTCCTGCACAGCCACCCTGCGGGGTGGGGCCCAGTGGCACGGTCAGGACAGGGCATCCTGGGAGCTGACCCAGGCCATCTGCTGTCCGTGACCTGCTGGACCTCTGGCCA